CACCATTTTGTTCACGTCCGTCAAAGTGTGTGGTACCCACCATGCATTCACCTTGCGATAGTGCAGGTGGTATTTCATGATGTCTTCTACACTACCAACACTGATGGACAGCATTGCTCCAAGTTCCTTGATAGTGATGCGCCTATTACCACGAATAAGTGCATCTGCACGATCAATGTTTGGCTTGGTGACAGATGTTTGCGGCCGACGATCATGTGTTTCATTCTCCATGCGCTCTCTGCCCTCTCTGAAGCACTTACACCACTCAAACACATGGGTCCCTGAGAGACACTCTTCCCCATACTGTTGTTGGAGTCTGTGGTGAATTTCAGCGGACGGGACGTTTTCTCAAATGAGGAATTTGATCACAATGCGTTGTTCCATGCTCCGCGGTACCTTCTGTTCACTCATCACTCTAGCAACTTCCAGACAGGACTGAACAGGTTCTAACCCTAACAGGAGGGAGGGTGGAGGTTGTGGCTTCACTCTCTCAAGGTCGCACAGCTGCTGCGCAGTGCGGCTTGTTTACAAAAAAATCAGTCCCAGTCATATTTGAACCACCTAGCACCATGCAGTTTGGAGACAGCCAGATGTTTCGAAGGAACATCTTGCCTCCATAATATCAGATGCTGTTCAAACTATGCGGCATTACAATTCAACAGACCAGATGCTTCTAGTCTTTGTAATTTTTCTTTATGAATTTCAGTAGCAGGCTACAGTTCTGGACCAATTTAACTGTCTGACAAAGATCTTTTCAAACAAATTTTGTTTTGATACAATCAAATCATATATTGCGTGATCAAATATTCACAATGCCTCTTGCTAGTTCTAGTTCATTCTGCTATCATAACTACACAACTATATTTTAATATATGGTAAACCCTTGCTAATTCAGACTAACTGGAGAGGGAAGGGGTCATCTGGAGTAAGCAATAATCCAGAGTAATGAAGCAAAAGACAGTCCTAAAAGACAACAAAACTTAGAAACAAAAACATGAAGATAGATAAGTAAATAAGAAGAATCACTGCAGCATTTCTTCCTGTCAGAAGCTGAAATCCAGGGTCTCCTCCATTCAGTTCAAGCCAGTCTCGGATATTTTCTTGTGTGCTTTTAGTCTCTCCAGCTGCCCTCAACAAAGTCTGAAAGTTCTCTTGCTCCTAAATCCCACATATCTTTTAAAGTATGTACTCAATTGTGTAACAGATGATGGAAGGTGTACTAGTGAAATTAAATCCAGGATTGCCATGGCAAAAGCTGCAGTTAGCAAGAAGAATCTTTTTACAAGCAAATTGGACTTAAATTTGAGGAAGAAACTAGTGAAATGCTATATTTGGAGCATAGCTCTGTATGGGGCTGAAACATGGACACTTAGGGCAGTAGATCAGAAACATCTGGAAAGTTTTGAAATGTGGTGTTGGAGAAGGATGGAGAAGATCAGTTGGACCGATTATGTGAGAAATGAAGAAGTGTTAATTAGAGTCAGTGAGCAGAGGAATATCCTACATGAAATAAGAAAACGGAAGGCTAATTGGATTGGTCATGTTTTACGCAGAAACTGCCTTCTAAAAGAAGTTATCGAAGGAAAGATAGATGGGCAGATAGAAGTGACAAGAAGACGAGGAAGAAGACGTAAGAAGATGCTGGATGACCTTGGGGACAGAAGAGGATACTGTCATTTGAAGGAGAAAGCTCTAGATTGCATTAAGTGGAGGAATTGTTTTGGAAGAGACTGTGGACCTGTCGTCTTGACAGATTACTGATGATGATGATGACTCAATCGTGAACAGAATTCTCCATTTTTTGTATTCTGATCCAGATTATCTGACATGCAGATTAACTGTAGCCGGATAAGCTGGGGTTTGTTGTAGTTCTCTAAATATGAATAATGAATGATGAAATCCATTTATTAACATAGCACACAAGAGGAACAAATCCTGTCACCTCACTTCACGGCTCTACTGAGCACTCTTCTCTTTATAAAATACAAGAAGTTCCCATTCACTGTGTGAGATATACTTAATTTCCCTATCAGTATCACATTATTCAGCAGCTATGACTTTAAGAAGGAATAACACTGAGATAGCAAATTTTGGAAAGAATATGAAGTATGTATACTACAAGCCGGAAGGTTGAGAGTTCGATTTCCGATGAGGATATTGCATTTTTAAATTGACCTAACACTTCCAGCCACACTATGGCCCTTGGGTTGACAGCCTCTAACAGAAATGAGCACTAGGAATCTTCCTGGTGTTAAAGGGTAGGCAGCTAGTGCATAAGGCTGACAACCTCGTTGCCATTTGCGTGCGAGACTGTCTAGAAAATGTGGGATCCTCAACATCTCACAACCCTATGGGCCTGCACAGGGACAGCTTTATCTTTTTATCCATATAATTAGATGTTTCTTCTCCATTTGGGATATGGATGTAGATGGGAGGATAATATTAAAATAGGATAGGGACCAGTGATGGGTTCTTGTGAATATGAAAGCGAGCTTCTGTTTCCATAAAAACAATTTCATGATTTACACATGGAAACAGATTGCAAAACAAACCTATCAAATGCATTTGCTATATTTTGGGCCATATCAAAAAATACAGCGAATCAAAGTTTAGCAGTACATCAAGGCATGTTTTGAATATTTACATTGAACATTTTAATGCTAGGACAAGGTGCAAGGGATAAGGTGTGAAGGGGATAACTACAAGTTGAAAGAGATCAGAGGTTTCTTGTTGAATTTCCTACAGGCATTACACAAATTCAATAATAATTTAATGTAGTGAAACTGAACACTTACATCAAGTTCTTTTAATTCTTTGAGATCTGTAAATTCTTTTATTGGATCTGCGAGTTGTTTCTGGATGAAGGAAAGAAACGCTTCTGCTGATCTCTGGCCTCGATATTCTCGCTTCAAGGACTGGCCATTTCGAATTACTTTCAGGGTAGGATATTTTGTTATGTGAAACCTTGTAGCAATTGAACCTGTACACACATATACCAAAATGAAATAGCAAACAAACACAAAGCATACAATCAAAAAGTGATAAGATATAACTCAAGGACAATCCAAACTGCCTACATAATTGTGACAGAGAACAAATCACATTTATAAATACTTCAACACAACTTTGTTATTTCATACAATTTGCTATATCATATGAAGATACCTTTGATTGTTGTCTCTTATCAGTATGTATGTTCTAAGATACATACTTGGTAGCCAGTATGTTTCACAATAGGAAATACCGTACTTCCCAGAGTCAAAGATACCACAGATTGTCAGATGCACCCTTGACTTAGTAACAGCCTTTCTTGGGGTGGGGGGATATGTTTATTGCACTAGGAACTGCCAATACTCAAATTAAAAAAAGTTTCTTTGTTTAACAAACACAGTGAACAGATGCATTTGTTTAATTTAAGCTTTCAGTTTTTTGTTGATCTGCATTTGTTATTACAAAGAAGTTTTTGTTTGAATATCCATCAGTGAACTGAGACAATAACCAAACGTTCAACAATGCCAAGATACCCAACCCCCAACTCCCTTTCCCGAGCACTGCTGGCTGTAGGCAAGGTTTTAAGACTCAGCACTGAGCATAGGTGTAACAGTGAATGCCGAATGATCTCTCTTCATCAAAAAGTTTTAGTTAATATCAAAACTACTTGGCATTTTCAACAATGGCAATACACAGAAATACTCCCACTATCTCTGTGTTTACTGGCTCATGATTCCTTGTGCTTTAGTCATACAAAATAATTTTTTAGTATCAATTCTTAGATAACTTCAAATGTAAGATGCACTCAGATTTCTAAAATTTTACAATATGAAAAAAAAAATGATTCTTACAAATGAACCTGACTATTATTGTGGGCATCACCTAGTGTTTCCTCAGACATAACATTTATGGAACTGGATTTGTCTGTGTCATCAGCAGTATGGAAGGAAAGGTTTCTATTCAGCTGGATCTGTTAGAAGAAGCAAGTCTTGATTACAGGATTGAATTATGCTTAGTTTTAAGGTTAAACAGAATGCTCAATAATAAACCACAAATGCATGTAAAGGATCTAGTTTAATCCTCCATTTTCATACCAAAACATTAAGTCTGAATGACTGGAAACATTGAAAGATTTGTGATGATGATGATGACTCAATTCTAGTTTATGTATGTGCAAATAATAATAGTAACAACTATAGCATATTACAAAAACGATTGTTGAGAAATGTTCCTGGCTCTGAATTCGTTAACGTCCCTGCAAACAACATTAGCAGCTGATGCACATCTAGCAGAGGGACAATTTTTAGATGAGGAGCAAACATTGAACAATGCAGTCTCTGATATACCGAACAGGAACTCAGAACCAACAATTTCCAAAACAGAAGGGCACAATTTCAAACCAAAGTAAACTTGAGTAAGAAAGACAACATTGAAGCGATGTCTCCTAATATATAAAGGGTGCAATCTTAACTCCATTAATAATATCAAGAATGAAGATTGTGGAACAAACATATTATATTAGATCTGGGGATCTCACAGTGGAATTATAAATAGCATACTGTCCTCACAGGTGTAATGCCATGTAATCTGGTAGAAGTTCTCTCACATTTCAGAACAATGTATTGCATGTCATCTCTGCTTGCTACCTGCTTCACATTGGTTTCTTGCTTCATTTATTCTTCGACCCTGAAGATGGAGGCGACATGTTCCTCTAATACATGGGTTGACTTTCAACAGATTACATAGTGTTATATATCGGAAGACGGAACTTTTTATAACCACCACTGAGAATCTTGAATCCTAGAAATTCCTTGCAATTTTGACAAAATTTCTAGCAATGCAGTTTCAATATTCATCCCATGCCTAGCCACAATTCAAACCAGGTACCCTCCCCAAATACAAGCCATAAGTGTTAAAACCTGAGGTGACTGGTTCAGTTAGCATGAACCTTAAATATGAGCCATATACTATCATCATCTACAATCCACATGACCTTTTACCATAATTGAATTAAATACTAAATAAGATAATTTAACACTTTGTGGACTGCGCACCGTTTAAAAGGCTTTTTCGCTTTTAAACATGGCAGACCGTTCGCCTTCTAACTGGTTTTTAGAACACGATAAGTTGCAACACACTATACATCTCTCTGGCACCACCCAAATGAATGACTACTGCGTAATATTACTCCAGAATGTTTGCCTAGTAGGTAGTAAGTTGACCTCGCTGTTTTGGTTCCCCCTCCAAAGGAAAATAACCTTTGACCCTTCAAGCTGTTATGTACCAGGCAGGATATTAGTGCAATATGAATCAAGGACAGAAGCGGTTGAAGACGAAGTGATATCTCGGAGAAAAAGAAATATCTTACTCGTTCTCCGATGAGCTATTTGACGTGCCTTGTGAGAGGAGTAGTGAAACTGAGACAGTGGCAGTGACAGGGGTCAACAAACAAGCGTAGCCACAGACAATAAAAGTGAAAGTAGCTCTGATGAAAGTGCAGGTAGAAGTGCAGGTAGTAAAATTGCGGGTACAGCCACATGGGGAAAAGTAGACAAAATGCCTACTTTGGGACAGTTTACTGGAAATCCAGGGGTGAAACAAATTCCATCAGACAACGCAAGTGTCTGAAGTAGCAGAACTGTTTTTTGGAGATAGAGACACTCATGTTGTGAATATGATTTCCACAATTCACAATTCGAGCATGGTTCATGTTCAAAGGAGACATGGACAAGTAAAGAAGCCTATTTGTATTTCTGAGTATAATATGTTCATGAACGGAGTTGATAGAGCTGATCAATACTTGGCCTATTATTATCTTCCTAGATAAACAATAAAGTGGACAAAGAAAGTTGCCTTGTGACTTATAAATTGTGCCATTTTCAATTCATTTTTGGTTTACAAAAATCTAAACCCCAATTTGAAATTGAAATACAAAGCATTTCTGATGAATGTGGCAAAGGCCTGGGCTACAGACCAGATGGTGGCGTCAGACAAAGACTTAGTGGGACTGGGACCATCAACTCCCACCCCTCTCAGACCTCATGTGGACCCCCTGGGCGACTCTGGGGTGATATGCGGAAATATAACCTCGTGAAAACTGTGAAGAGTGAACATTCCAAGGGGAAGCATCCTTCTAGGCAATGTCGTGTTTGCACAGTTCACAGAAAAAGGAGCATTACTGCCTACATTTGCATGTTCTGTGTAATGTCACTTCACAAAGGGGAATGTTTCCAGGAATATCACACTCTCAAGCACTTCTGGGAGCATTGGTAAGTGTTCTCCAAAAATTTTAGTTCACAAAATTAATGATGAGATTTTATATTAATATTTAAAGTGAAAAGTGCACAAGTTAGGGTAGTAGGTTTAAAAATGCCGGTCCCCAGGGTGATTTAAATATTTAAATTGCCGGTCCGCAAAGTGTTAATATCTGTTATTTGATGTTGAACATGGAGGGTCATACCTTCTTTGTCGCAGTCGACTTTTCCCATGATGACCTGGCCAGGCTCTGGAAATTCGGCTGCAACTTTGTCGGCAGCTTCATCAAATATTGGTGCCAGCATATTACTGAATCGGCACCAGTCCGCATAAAAATTAATAAGTACCAATTCATTTGAAGCTGAAATAAAACAGCAATTATGACAAAAGAAATTTATTTAGCATTCAGTTGACTATAAAAATGGTAAAGCTATTCCTGTTACAGGCTGTGGAGGCCCATTGGGTTGTGAGACATCGAGACTCAATCGGCTCACAGATGATGGTGAGATAGTCAGCCTTACATGCCAGTCACCCTTTAATCCCAGGAAGATTCCTGGTACTCATTTTTGTTAGAGGCTGAGTCTACCTCAGGGCCACAGTATGGCTGGAAGGATTAGGTCAATTGAAAAATCCAGTGACCTCATTAGGAACTGACCTTCCAGCTTGTAGCATAGTGTCTCAATAAACTACGCTATCTTGTGCCTCAAAGTTGACTAGAATTGATATATTTTATATAGTTATGTCTCAAAGTTATAAAGTAATGAGGTAGGATATAAATTTTGTGGAATCAGAAATCCTTGCTACCTTAATGCTCTAACAAAGTAAATGAAGAATCAGATCATTATTTTTGTAGGTTATTTATTGTCACAGCCGATACAGTGTCAAATGGTAGGATGAAAAATGAATTGGAATCAATTCAGAAGAAATGGTCACAGCCTAATCAAGGCACTATTCCTGCAGTTGTTTTGAGGAACTGAGTAAAACTATGAAAAATTTTGAAAAAATGCTATTTTCTTGGATGTGGTGGCATTCTTCACAGTCACTGCCATGAAAACCTCAAATGTTAGAATCAAACAAAATATATTACCAATCTATGTACAAAACTTCCCATATAAGAAGAATTCAATTATAAATGGAATATTATGGAATACAGGGATTCCAAGCACTTAAAAAAATAACCTATAAATTATACTTTAAACTGATGCTAACATACAATGTTGGAATATCGGCTTTTACAAATAGGTAATGCAGCAAAGTTCAGTCAGTAGCTATTACAATTTTGAGATGTACTGCAGGAAAAACAAAGAGACAGAATTTGAAAGAAGCTGCAATTAAAAATTTGTCAACATATTCAGAAGAGAACTGATTACAAAGAATGATGAAATTTGGTTTACAGTGTTTCAACAACATTCTGGACAAAATGGTGTTTAATCACATGAAAAGTTTTAGTTCTTCCTTTTAACTCGTTTATAATTTACATGAAGATGCTATCATTAGCTTAGCCTATTATGTCAAATATTATGATGACTGATGAAAAATGAATTTGAAAGAATGTGGAAGGCAGTGCCCTTCCAGGCTAATCTGAGGTACAATCCTGGAATTTGTATGGATGGACTGAAGAAAACCATGGCTTGGGGGAGGGGCAGTATTAATCACACTTTCAGTTGTTACACAATACAATGTCAAACAAATGGATGAAAGATGAATTGAGGAGAATCCATAAAAAATAGCCTGAGGTATTAGCCCAGCATTTGATATGGGTGACCAAGAAAAACCATGAAAAAACCTCAGTAAGCACAGTTGGTGTCCCAACTGAGATTCAAACTGAGAACCTTCTGAATACATGCCTAGAGTGACACAGTTCACTCTGAGAAAGGACATGAAAAACCTCAGCCTAATCAGTAAGTGCCTTGGCTGTGATCTGAAACAGGCATCTGCATACAAACCAACTTGGTGACTTTCCAGTTTTGGAAACTTCTGAACAAATATCCAAGTATCTTGGAGGGACGTCAGATATAACTTAGTAGCACTGATAAGTCTGGAATTGACAGGACTGCCTGTTGTAGTCATAAGTAAATACACTTGGGAACAAACATTATTCTGTATCCAAAGCTAAGTTTCATACCGAACATACAAAGCGCAAAAACTCTATGTATAGAAATTCTTTCACAGAACCATTCAAGTAATTACTCTCCTAAAATCATACGAGCATTGACATGACCCCTCATACCTTCATGCTTCATTTTGACATAAAACTCTATTCTAGCCTGGAATTGCTGTTTTCAAGATTTGTTATTAATGAGTATCCTTGTCTGCTTACTACATCCTAACAAGTTACAGGGAACACAGCTTACTTCTTAAAGTACAAAACTGTCTTACCTAATATTGTGTCCAAGTTACTTTGTGTAAGTTGCACTGCTCCACTATCCGTTGGGTTGTAAAAGAAATAACACACCTATTGAGTGAAAGATACAATTTAAATTAGTCTAAATAATAATTACAAGCTATATTACTCGTAAAACAGTGATCTACATCTCTGATTTCAAATTGTTCAAAAAACAGAGAATTGCAACTGAATAGCCAGTGAACATGATTACAACAGCTACCTGTAACCATCATATCTGTACGAACTTCAACCTTCTAACATAAACACTTACCAACATAACCTATACTTGTCAGAAATATACTGGTGAATTATGGCAACCGTTATTTCAGGTAACATTATTTCCACATACAGAAAGATTCTGTCACATTTATGTCACAGTCCAATTAAAAATATCACAAAGTATTACGTTCGTTTAACATGGTAACACAGATAAATCCATCACAAGTCAAAAAGGTTCATTTAATTAAACTTCGCTTTACGTCGTGGCAACTTCTGTGAAAGTAAAAATTATAATCGTTACATACTTTAACCCAAAACTCAGTATTCAAATATAATTAATTTATAATCTGAAACAACTTACTAATAAATGGGAAAGAAGTGTAGATTTAATACTTCTCAAACTGTACAACACATTCATTTTCTTCAATAAATAAATCTTAGTAACCGGTTACTACACTCCATAAGACATTAGTCACGGATACTGGCAAACCATCGACAGGATCGACAGGATCGACACTTCCTACCCTTCCTACAGCGTTTCGCTGGCAATGGGTATCGATATAACCAGTACTACAGTCGAAATTCCGCCACTGAGTGGTGTATCAAAAAGGAATGTAATATTTCAGAGATATTATTGCATGAAAATAATAAATTGGAAATCTGCTGACCACAGAACCGTACGGAATTAAATACATATTCTACACAAGGTAATTAAATGCATTACTGCAAAATGCTGCACTGAAAATAGTACTGATTCTTCACAGGCCTCGCGGATATCAGCAACGAAGGTAGTGTGGGTATTGTTATGCGTTGTCGTGCATCAATGCAAGGCATCTACCATCTCTACGAACTGTACTACATGCAAGTGATGGTAAGTTTGCCCATCTACCAGCCTTCTTTATGGGGAAACAACCGCCCCCCCCCCTACCCAGCAAACGCAGCAAACTACACACTGGATCACACTGGATATAGTTGTAGTACTTAGGGGTGACCGAGGTGACAGTCCCCCGAAGCGGAGTAGGAGAACTATTGGTAGTGGCGGGGAGAGCGGGGAGAGCTCCAGCATGCCGACAAGTGTGGCGGGGAATGCAGTACAGGCGTTCTCAAAAGGAAATAACTTCTTACCTCATTGTGTTGCATAGTGATGGTGGTTTAGTCTCGTTGATTTTCACGCATCCGATGTTAAGTTTTTAAGTGCGAAATGACAGACTATTATGCACTATACACTATTATACACTTTTCACTGTTATATACATGAAGAGTTTATTTACATATTAGACGGGTCTATCCTAATGGGGCAACACCGGCAATGTCCGCATAGATATCATCTCCACATGCCTGTCCTTCCTCGTCACCACCAGATGAATCGGAGCTATCATCAGAACTCTCATCACTATCACCGCCAACATGGAAGACGAACTCCCGTCCTGCGTCCAAAAGGCCTTCCCGTGCCATTAACTGTTGCTCAATGTTCCTTACATGGTGGCACCTACGTTGCCATTCTTCTGCAGTTACGGAAGCTAATTTTTGCTCTGCCAGTTTAATGACATCATCCATCTTAAATGTGGTATTATTTCGAGCAACCCAATTTTTTACGGTGGCCCGTATTAACTGAACTGTGTTGAGTTCTCGGTGATACGGAGTTAGTCGTAAAATATTGTGATTGTGTTCTGCAAAGATTCCACCTATTTTATAGGAAAGGTATTTCAGTTTGAGTGGTAGGATCATATTATATATGTCTGGATTCCGCAATGATGAAAGATCAGTGTTATTGAAGGTAATAGGTGGATGGTGATATTTTGGCCAGGATATCATAAAATCTCTCCTTGAATTTGAGTCAGGGGCTCTGTTTAATTGTACATTATGGTAGGGAGCGTGATCAATGACAAGGCCAGAATTTGGGCGGTTAGGAATAAGTCGCTCCTTTAACCATTTTTCGTAATTGGTGTAGTTCATGTCGCTGTGGTGGTCTCCAGTTTCTGGTGGGATTTGAGGCGGACATAGGCATTATGGATGAAACCTTGCTCTCCCCTTGCATGGATAATAATGAGCCGCTGGCCTTTGGACACGGGGGAAAATAATCCCTGGATGGATCCATCACTCCATGCATATGGGGTGGTGTGCGATGAATGAATATAGGTTTCATCCATCTAGATCAGGGGTCTCCAAACTTTTCGAAACGCGGGCCACATTAGGTAATTCAGCACTTTCAACGGGCCGGATAAAATGAGAAATTAATAACTCTAGATATGAGTTTTATTGAAAGCACAGAATTTCATAAACTAAATACAAAGTACGTGAGAATAAATTATCGTATATTAATGACAACAGACAGTAGCAGCAAATGGTCATATTTTCATCACAAATTATAATAAAACAATGCGAATGATGGAACTCTTTTTGCATTCTTAAAATCTGATTAAATTGAGGTTCAAATTTTGAAACGCTAATCACAAGTAGCGACTTTAAATGTTCATCGGATAAATATGCCTTGTATTTCGACTTGATGTCCTTCATCTGGGAAAAAAGTTTGTTCTCACAGATATGTCGTCCCAAAAATGGAGATAAATTTACAAGCAAATTTCTTTAAATTTGGAAATTGCTCAGAGTTCAGAAATTTATAAAATTCGATCAAATTTCCTTCCTTGTATTTTTCTTTAATATGATAAT